CTCGAGCAAATCCGCGAAAATGGTGGGTGATACCGTCCAAATTACGAGGTGGGAACGTCGAAGGGAGCGATATATTATTTACCAATAATTTACCACGCTGGCGTGTCGCTGTCCTCTTCCCTGTTCCTGGATACGTAGGGACAGATTGATATATCCACAATGCACCCGTTGGGAACGCTGTCCATTTCGTCTTACGCCTACATCGGAACGCGGATGTGCGTATCGAAAGGCTCGCATGTTCGCACATGCCCATGTATGTGTCGCACGTACGTGTACATATGAAAACGTACACATACATATGCTTTATGCATTTCACCCACATAGAACGGTGAATATACTTTGTGTTGGGGATTTGCTCTTTGATGAGATCCTATTTCGACGCTACAGTTGCACGGAAACAACTCCCATTTCTTAATGACTCTACTGATAACAATAAGAAGCAAATGGAAAAGAAATAGGGTAAAGAATAAAGGGTATAAGGTAAAGGGAATGACCACAGAACAGCCGAAAAAATGGCCACAAGTTGTACTTTCTCTAGTAGTTTCTAAATAGTACGTTTTACCTGAGTGTACGCATATAAACTATTATATAAATGTCAATTATCTTTGAGAATGACTACAAAAGCGCATTATTTTAGCAATCATCGGAGAAATTACAGCTTATAGTCATCCTTTCCGTATAGCCAACATACCAGAGTTTACTCTGTATATGTTTTCGTAACGGCAGATTCGCTCGAATTGCATTGAATGATCTCGATCCTCGCGTCCAAGTAGATAACTCACGACCCGTATTGACATTCGGTTTTATTTTCGAGAGTCGACGGCCGCTTGATTTCCGCTTCTCAAAAAGAAAAAAAGAACAGACAAGAAGAACAAGAAACAAAGAAAGAGAGAAGAGCACAGAAGAAGGAGAAAGAGTTGAGTAAGAGTTGTACAGGGGGGAAAGAGGACAGGGAAAACATAATGGAGATGCTGCGGGATGTTTACGCAGGGCGGACAGAGAGGAGTTCGCCGGCCGTCCATCCCTACTCGACAGGGATGCGAGCCGAACGCAGACTTGCGCGCGTCCCGTCGGCTGGTGCGCGCTTTGTACCCTCGCCGGGACCTCGCATGTTCCGCACTCGTCCTGGCGTCCGTGCGCGCGCGATTGCGCGCCGCGTATCGAGCACCAGCGGATAGTTGCTACGATGCGCCGCGGTTAATGCATTCCCGCGAACTAGCGTGTAAATCAAATTCGCACAAAGCGAGAACCGATTTCCCCGTGCGAGATACAAGGCGCTTCATGTTTGGCGCGCTCTTGATTTACGCGGCTTCGTCGGGTTCGCGCGGTAGTTTTCAGGCACGCATTAACCGCACGACAGTCGAGTCCGGTCGAGCCGAATCGAGTCGAGTGGAGAAAAGCGTGTACCGGTAACGTCGCGTGCAGTTTTCACCCTCCCCCGAATGTACGCGTACGCCAAGTATGTGTGCGCGGGGAGTTGCGCGCCCTCGCCCCGCACCGGCGAGACAGAGAGAGAGAGAGAGAGAGAGAGAGAGAGAGAGAGAGAGCCAGCCGCATGCGCGCGTGTATGCACTTACACGTGTGTACAGATAGCTACGGTACGTGCGGCGTATGCCGATGGGTTGCGGTTTGACTCCGGTGGCTACCGGATAGGCCGCCGTTATTATCCGTAACTCGCGTTGCGGTGGGGACGGAGCGAACGCGCAGCTCGAAAACCCTCGAAGAACCGGGAGTCTGCGTCAGCAACGGCTCCTCGTTCCGCACGTGAGAACGCCGCTGTTGCCCAAGAACAAGAAACGAAGCCACCCATCCCTCGAGTACGCGTCCCTTAACCCGTAAGCGAACGATCTTACGATTGTAACGAGCCGTTGCGACGAGCGATGGTTTAAAGCACCGTCGCGTCTGTCTCGACATTTCCGCGTGAAATCGACGTGTGCGGAACACGGTTGTCCTCGGGGGACAGAGGAGAGCTTCATCGCCGATGCGTTTAACTGCGAACTTGCGAGTTGGCGCGTCGATTCTCGTTACCGGCGAGAAGATAAAGGCGCGGAAGTTGCGTGAAATCGGCGCCGACGCCGATGTAATATTCGCGAGATTCGATTAAAGCCAAGTCCCTCCCTCCCTCTCAGCCCCGTCTCTCTGTCGGGATGCTCTTTATCATCGCTGCACTTTATCTCGATCCCTGAGGTGCTTCGTTACCAGAGATCGAGCGTTCTAGACTCGAACAGAGGGCTGTTTTGATAGCGCGACGGGGGTTGCATAATGTATTTGCATAAGCACGCTTATCGTCAATTACGGCAACAGTCGGATATCCCGGCGATATCCTTTAGTCATATTTACTCGTCGAAGAAGGGAAGCACTGCTCTCTTTCTCTTTTTCGCTCTCTCTTTCTGAAGAAGGAGATATCTCTCGCGGAGGTAATTTCGCCCGGGGCGAGGGATCGCGGTAACCAAAAACGCCGTCGATACATAATGCGTGTCCGAGGCTCACGTATCGACATTCGGAGGTGAGCGATTGAATTAAATTCCTCGTTGAGTGCTTCCGCGATATACGTGTATATAAGATACGCGCGCGGTGAGGTTCGAGGAGAATCTCGGGGAGGAGGGTGGCTCCGGTCTAACGTGAAATATTTTACTATTCGGCGAGGGCCCTCTCGCGTCCCTTTTCATCGTATTCTTGGGGAAAACTGATAAAAGGATCTGGAGGAATATGGACAGGAGGGGGACTGCTCGTAGAGAAAAGCAGGGTCTCTCTCTCTCTCTCTCTCTCTCTCTCTCTCTGTCGGTTGGTTTAGGGTGGGTTTTCGCGTATCCGCGGATAAAGCTCCGACGGCGCGCCCGTGGAAACGATCGGATTACCATTTTTTAGCGCCCACCACATACCCGACGAGAGAAGGGCGAGTAGCAGGAAGGCGCTCTCTCGGTCTCGAGGCCTCGAGAAACCCGCCGACTGCCGCCAACAAGTAATTCCGTGTTTTCAATCTTGGCGAATGACGCGGAAAGGGCAAAAGCGCGCTCCTGCCGGTCGTTCGGTTCTCGAGACAAATGTCGTTGGACCATAAACTAAATTAGCACTTCGCGCTGAAACGGAGAACAGCAGCCTGACGCTCGGGTCTTGACTGTTTACCGTGGCCGACTCTTTCTCTCGTAGAGCGGGTAACAGTCGCTCGTTCGATTTAATTCCGTCGTACGTTAGCGATGTGAGACGGACTGTGTAAAAGACAGAATGAAGAAGCGCGCGCGCTGAAGAGGAGGACTCCGTGCTCCTACGTAAATAGCAAGTACTCGATGGGAACTTTACGTTGATGCATGAAAGCACTCGACACGACGCGGCACGCGCGCGCGTCACAACGCTGAGGGAAACCCTGTATGTGTATCCACATAATTATTGGAATTTCATTTTGACACCGGGGGGAGTCGTCTCGCGATATCGCTCGCGCACTCTCTTACGTAACTCTTATCCCCGCGATAGTTCGAGTTGCTCTCTTGTTGAACGGCATAATTGCATTCTAAGTTCCGTGAATTTTCCTACGAAATACCGGGGATGGATGTTAGCAACAGACGGATGATTTTTCGCTCTACCGTTGCCCTCCCCGAGGATGCGGTCGACAGCATTCGAGACATGCCCTTCGAGAACCTTTATGAAATCGTGGCAAAGCATACCTGGCCCGAAAAAGCCCGGTGCACGATGCGATCAGGTATGCCGAGAATGGACTGCAGTTTTGCGGGTGGAGGGTAGCGTTTCCGAGAGAGCGCGGCGGAGAGGGGGAGATGCTCGCGAGCCCTCCCGATAGCTTTTTCATATCGCTCGCTGATGGTTTCCCTCTTCCGTGAGAGGGTAAAACCCCGGAAGTCAAAAGCGTGCCGTGAGATCGCGCGCGACACGTTTCTGCCTGTGACATTCGAGATCCTTCCTTGACACGCGACGATGTCGAGGACGGAGAATTGTTGCAACTCCTCGTAAGTTGTCTGTTGTTCTTTTTTTACGCGCGCGGCGTGATATTCCGTTGTTTTGGAATCTCTCGAGTCAGCTTCGTTCGCGCGAGGTAAAACGGTGTCGTCGCACTCGGAAAAATCGATGTGCCGTTTTCGTTATCCGCGTACTCTCTCGATATTAATGTTCCAATGGAAGAAATGAGAGATCGCGGGCAGAGAACCGTTGGGAAAAGAAATCTATTAAAATTTTCATTGTGCGATAAACTTTCAGAAAGAGAGAAAGAGAGAGAGAGAGAGAGAGAGAGACAGAGATCATAATTTAACATGTAAATAGGGGCAATAATGTAACGTATAAATGTATGTACGATCACTCTTACGCTTACGCGGCAGATTCTATCGAGCAGCGGACATTACCGCGAGCGGCGTTATTATTTATTTATTTATTTTCGCTGATTTCATAACCATAACAAATATACATAATAGAATCCACCTTCCGTAGAGATAACGGATAATGGACAGTTATTATTCGTCGTATCTTCGCAACAGTATTTGAACGAGAAGAATCGGTATTATCGTGAAAAAGAATTCCCCAACGCGATCGATAGCGTTCCTCGATAACAGCCACTCGCTATCTCTCGTTTCGAAACAGACAGTGCGCGCGGTACCGCATGCACTTTCTCACCGAGACAAAACGGACTTGTTACAGGAGTAATGAGAATTGTATCGAGCACTCAACATCCACGAAATCGTTCTTCACGGGAGAGAAGTCGAGTGAATATTCTTTCAATTTGCTCCGGCAGCATGAAAGATCAACTTTGGACAATTTCCCGATCGATACCGTGACGCGGTTTGGCTCTGGAGACCACCGTACACAATACGTAGAACCCAAAGATTCCGGCTGGAATACGGCACTGGACGCGGTAGGGTGGAAGAACAGAGCCCGAGGAGGAGGGGAGGTCGCGCGACAAGGGTTGGGAAAGCCGAAGCGTGGCTCCTCCGGGTGGGGGGAGACGGTACCTCGAACGCGGACTACGCGGGCCTCCCTTGGCTCAGTCCGACCCGGACGTTCGAGGGAGACGCGTCCGTCTTCCGCGTTGCGTACACGCACCAGCCGCACGGCACGTTGTGTGACGTTTCTCGTTCTCGCTCTCTCGTGCCCGTAGGATATTACTCGGAGACAATAGTCGAGACCTGTGTCCGTATACACGACGTCTGTACACACCTCACCCCACACACACGCACACATACACACACACGTACACCACGCACGCACACACACATATACATACATACACAGACACGCACAGATCGCATACGGAGACGTGGCGGGAAGTCGGTGCTCCGAAACGACCTTGCGTACGGCGAAGCGCAAGGTCATCGGACGAAAACAGAGCACGCGTTCGTTTACATACACACGTACACGGATATCTGTGCGGTACAACGTATCGTCCGCGCGGCGAAAAGATAGATACACGGGGGAGGGAGGGAGAGAAAGCGAAGAAAAAGCTCTCGCGTCTCTCTGGGCCGCTACTCGCCGGCTTTCCACGGCCACGAATCGATACCACGCGACCGTCGTCGTCGTCGTCGTCGTCGTCGCCGTCGCCGCCGTCGTCGTTATCGTCGTCGTCGTCGTCGTCGTCGTCGTCGTCGTCGTCGCTGTCGTCGTCTGTGCCTCTCTCTCTCTCTCTCCCTCTCTCGAGCGCACGAGCCTTATTTCGCTCCACGACTTGTTCCTCGTCGCCGTGCCTCTCGTCTCGTGCCCGTCGGCCAGCCCGCAGGGCCGCCCGGGAGAAGGCAGGACCGCGCGCGCTTCTTCCGCAAGGACCGCGGGAAAACGCGCGCGCCCGCGAGGACGACGCTCGATGACAGGTGTATCTCGGAGTGAAGCCTCGGTGTGCGCGACGTGGCCCGGAGCAGCCCTGCGACAGGGAATGTTGACGACGGTGGCCGTCCGTTTGTTCCGTGAGCTGCCGTGAAAACACGTCGGAGAGGACGTCTCGATGCTCCCGCAATCCCCTCGGGCGGGACAGTGATCTCGCGCGCGCGCGCGCGCGACGACGACGATCCGCGACACGCCGGGCCACGCACGACCGGCTCCGCTGTGAAAACTGTACAGTGAACCGGTACAGAGTGACACGTGACTCAGTCTGTTCTCCGCAATTGTCTCACGCGTGTGTTCTGTGGCGGACGAACTGGCAGGTGGCCGACGTGTGATCGACGACCGTCTATCAGCGAGAACATCTACGAGGACCGCAGTTCAGCCTGGTATTCGTCGTAAGAGTGAGTACGCATCCTTCATTTCCTCGTGTGCCCGCGTGACGGGCAGTTAAGCGTTGCATCTGTTCACCCCGGGCGAACCTACGAAAACAGGTGAATCCTGATTCGGCGACGACGGTCGCCCAGCGGTTGAATGCGAGCTCTCTCGCGGCGCGTTACGTCGTCGACTTTCAGAGATTATGCGTCTGAATTATTACGCCTGTAAATTGGGCGCGCTTGGCCGCCGACCAAATTGCCGACACCGCTAATTTAACTGCACCGGCTTCGTCTCGTCGCGACTACCGCCACACTGTGCCACCCATTCTCGTTAGACTCGCTAATCGCGGTGGTATTCGCGTGAACGTCGCGTGCTCGCGATACCACCACTCGCTACCGCGGTGCTTAACGGCGAAAGTCGATCGCGCTAATTAGTCGCCGGTCGTCGCTGCAACCTTCGCCGTCGTTCTGTCGCGTCGACATTATTATTTGTTGTTGTTACGAGGCAATATCCGACGTAAACAACGATCGTGAGCTTCGACATCTCTGACTGTACGGGGTTTTCCACGATCTTTTTGGTACTTCAAGCGCGCACACATGTGTGCACACTTCGCGACTCATCGTGTACAACGGGCGTCTCGCTGAAAATGCATTTGTCCGGTGCGCGCGTGTTTGTCAACGTCGCGGTGTTGAAAAATCCCACGAAGCGGAAGCCGTAGGAATTCGCGTACTTTGAAACATTTGCTCCCATTGTCGAAATATTAATCGTCCTTAAGGGGGGCTAATGTTAGAAATACGCCGCGGCGAGAGACGGACAAAGCGAGCAGTCGTCAAACGAGAGAGCTCGGTGCGGGCGCATTCTCCATTCTCGTATAATTTATGCCCCCGACATGCCCGGCGACCGACTGCCTCTAATATTTCGGAGGGTCTCTTTATATTCTCAAAGATAATCCGTCGACCGTATTAACTCTTTAACAGACAGCGTCGAGTCCGCTTTGTCCAATGTTTATAACGCATTAAGCGACAAGTTCAACTCGGCATTAATATTGCACTGCTTTCAACATCATACCTTCTTGATTGCATCTTTGTGACTATATCGTGCGAACTGATTTCCCACCTCATTTTTAATATTCAATTTTAATTTCGCTCGTAAGCGAAAATCACTGGATTGGTGACGAAAAGCGAGTGCTCCAGCTTTGCTGGAGTCGCGGCTCAGCGACAATGTAGTGTGATTACTCGAGTCAAAATTTAGAATCTACCGCAAGTGTCGCACAAGTGTTGCATTTGTGCTTCCAACAATGTTTCTTAGCCTGAAAGCCCAATCTTAAATCTACTAACGACTTCTTTTCACTTCTGTTTAGCCTTGCTGTTGTACTCAATTTAAATTTAAATCTCTATTGGGATCTTTTTGGAGACACACAACTGCTTTGTTTGCCTTTACGAGGTCTTCCTTTTTATCACTTTTGAATCTCCTATCGAAATCTTTACAATAACAAGTAA